ATAAACAATAGATAGCTATAATTATAATAAATTTCAATCAAGCGAGTTTTGACTCGTATGTTCTGATAGCTGCACAACTACATACATGGGTCCTACATATCGTAATATAATGCGGCTATTTTTACTCTGGACACGATTACATAAAATTAATTTTGCCTAAAGGAAAACTAATGAATTGATAAATATCTACATAATAATAATTACAAACCTGCACATAAACAAAAGCAAAGTGAAACAAATTTTGTAATTTTAATACATTACAATTACATTTTCATTTGTAATTTTTACTTATTAAGTAGATAATAGATATTTTGCAGTCCACAAAATTAGCCAAGGAATTAGTAATGAGTAACTGCAGAATTTGGTGTACAGAAATCTAGTTTGAGAGATGCTCTTTAAAAAATAGCAGGTACATAGTGTGATTTTATATCAAAATTTTTATAACCCCATTTTGTTTCTGATCATTTACACATTGTAATAAAGAACTGGAATCCATAGTTTCTTTAGCTTTGGATTCATCTAATACGTGAAATTTTTCGAATCCTATTCTAAGAATTTTGGATTATACGCGTTTATTAGCACACCACAATGTCTTGTAGTTTTCAGTTTTACACACTTGGGGCATATCAATTCGATATTGTTTTGGGGGTTGTTTTGTCGTAACTCATAGAATTTCGTAGTTCCTTATTGATCTGGCAGGCAAGTGCTGATATCAATTTGGAACTTCAAAATTCCATGGACCATGACCCGGAAAACAATATTAATCTAATATTTTAGATTATCCATTTCCAAGTTTAGAATTTTTGGGCTCTCTCCAGTTAAAGAATTAGAAGGCATTCATAGAATGTCTATTTGCCCCCTTTTTAAGCTTCTAATACCTTCAATGGCCAACGTGAGCAACTTTCATTCATCATTTTATACAATGTTTGATCGGCGAAAACTTAAAGGCAAAAATGCATTTTTTATTTTACAAATAGAAAATAAGTTTGGAAAAGTATTTTAAATAAAATACAAAATGCTTTTCTCAGAAAAGATAAAAATAGGTACTTTTTATTTTGTATTTGCATTTTAAAAGCAAATATTTCAAATAAATCACATCTCTGAAATTATAGTATCATAAAGTAAACCATTTATCCTTAACCAAAGTAAAAGCGTCAATCGGGTGCACATATTAATTTGTTGTCGCCTTTACGAACGACTGAACGAAACGGTTGACTGTGTTGTGTACGAACAACGAAACGCGACAAAAGTAACACCACAACATCGCAGTTGGCTTGCCCCGGCGAAAGCGTATTCGATTTCGGTTTTTAATCCCGTCCCGTGTACGTTTCCGTCCTGTTTATTCTAAAACCAAAGTTCGCGCACTCCCCCAACGGCTCCAGCATTAGTTAATTTCGTCGCGTCGTCGATGGGAATCATCATACGTTTACGTATAGTACACGCAAGCCAGACGTATCGCCGACCCTTTGACGTACGTGGAAGCAGAATCGCCATCATCATCGATCAGCTGTTTCGCGGTGCATCGATTCGACTGTACACGTCAATTGCGGTGGACTTTATACATGCATAGAGGAGCTGGAGGACATTATTTGCCTGCCACACGAACCACGTTCGCTCGCTGCAGTGTTTTACGTCGTAGTCAGTGTACCGCTGCAACACTGAAACACTATTCTGCCACCGGACCGATCGACGGCGACGGTGTTTAGATTTCCGAAAGGTGTCGTGTGATCCTTTATCACACGATGCCCTTATTATGCCGAGGAATAGATCGCAAATTGAAGGGAGCGTCGAATGCACTCAAAGCTCGCACCGTTGTATCGGTTCAGCTTCTATCTATAAACGCTTTCTAAACGCAAGAGATAATCGTGAAATTGCCGCCACAATTCCGTTATTGGAGAAGAAAATTAGGAAAATTATTAATCACTTGTCAATTGCGGTGGACTTTATACATGCATAGAGGAGCTGGAGGACATTATAAACTTGGATGTCACCGCTACTTTTTAATCTATACATCGAAGATGCGATCAACATCTTTAAAGATAGGACAACTGTAGGGATAGATGTACATCAGGGGTAAAAGATTAGTATGCTCAGATTTGCAGATGATGTATGATGATGATGTCTTTCGATAAAAAGAAGTCACTTCTATGCTGGCGAACGATTAATTTGCACGGCGGAAAAGAAAAGGTTCGAAAGGTGGTGTTACAGGCGAATGATGAGGATAGTGTGGATAGAGAAGGTTAGAAATGAAAAGGTATTAGAAAGAATAAGAGAACAGAGGACTCTATGGAAGTCAATTAGAAATAGGCGAGATAGGTTGGTGGGACTCCTTCTCAGCCATAAACAGGAGTTTAGAAGAGTAGAGGTAGAACTACATTAGATTACTGTTCGCAAATAGTTAAGGAAGTCGGTTGTTCTAGTTTTAGAGAAATGCGAAGATTAGCTCAGGATAGAAAGGAATGGAGATGCATGTCCAACCAGTCTTGGAACTGGCGACCTTATGACGATGATTGTCAAATGATATTAGTAACCCTCTAACATAAAAGAACAAGTGGTTCTAAATGAAGTAAGTATGGTTCTTTAATCTAGATGTTTCACTAATATTTACGGAAGAAATTGGTATAAGTTCATTTTATAAAGGTTAGAACCTTCGGAAGAAAGACTACACCGTATTAAGACCATTTAAAATCGATTGCTTGTTTAGTAAGGCAAAGGGTTAAAAGTAGGGTAAGACCCCACTGAGAATCTACGTGGCGTCTTGGATGACGACTGATGGTCCCTTGTTAAAATGTAGGGCAGGAACAGCGAAAAAATTATGACGAAAGGGGTCAGATTTCTTCTACTCTGCACTCCAGAAGGAGAAACCGCACCCTCAGATGGTCGGGTTGAAAGTTGAAGTAAGTAATTACATGGTTAGAACGGTGCAGTTAAACTTATTAAGATTCCAGGGCACACGTTCCCATCACCGGAAAAGAAGATGAATGATAAAGGTGTAAAATTTTAAATGTAGCTAGAAGAATGGGCTCTGTGTTTTAAATAAGTTCAACAGAAAAGCATAACGAGCGGCACACATCAAGTTAAATATTTAACGAAAAATAAATTATTTTATTATCTTCTTGGTTATGAGGAATTTTTAGGGATTAGTTTAATAATATACCTATAATCTCCCAGTTTTTGTAGAACCCCAAAAATTATCCGAAAGGTTCATCGCCTCATGTTGGTTTATTTCACTATTTCACCATATACAATAAATACCTACATAAGAATAAAACTATTAATAAATTCAATAATTATTACATAACCTTCCCGGTTGTTGAATTAATTAACATTCTCGGTACTCTCAAGATTACAAAGAATGTAAAAATTGCTGTCAATTATAGGACTGTTTCTCGATTCACTTTAACTTTATTATTTATTTACTTATTAAATTACGGGTGTACGGGTGTTTACGGATATCAGACGGGATGGCAATGACACGCATGACTCCATTATACGAATGGAATATAAATTTTTTTACCACGTCCTGAAAAGCTAAGCGGACAGGTCGATTATGCCTAGAAATCAAATAGAGCAAACGGTTGACTGTTTTATTTTGTATTTCGTTCATGAGTTACTTTGAGTTGACTACGAATTTAAATTTGTCATTTTGCTTCCTTGTTTAATGTATCTATGTAACAATTTTGAGGATTAGGACAAATTTCACATTATTTCTTTTAATGCATGGATCAAACGTGAATTAGACGTTTCTTTCGTAGTATTTTCAGTTTAAAAATGTATTTACTTATTTGATTCACTCTTTCGCGAAACAATTGCTATTGATTTTCATTTGTTTTCCTACAAAATTATTTATAGGTTAGGAATCTTTGCTGAATAATAATAACAAATAGAATAGTAGTTACAAGTGCATAATGAAATATTTATCGAAAGGAAACTATACAAACTAGTAATAAAATAGTAAAAAAAATGATTTTTGACTAGTTTTGCCGCTCTAGTGTCATGGGATACAGTTTTTTCTTCCCGTGTCATATTTACCGCTATTAGAGATTCATGTCACGTAATATTGGATGAAATTTTAAGGTAAAAATTTAACGGGTCGCTTAATTTTTAAAAAGTTGTCAGCCCCTTCAATTTTCATTAGAGGCGATTATTATCTGTATTTTTCGCGTTCCCTGGAGGCGAGAGAGAGAGACCGTTCGATCGAAGTAAAACAAAAAAAAAAACATTAAACGCGAAAAATATCGTATCGGTAATGTTCGGCGCATACTAAGTTTTCCCAAGTTTTATTGTTATTGGTCGGTTGAACTGAGCTGGTGGCATTCCTGTCTGTGTGTAAGCCTCTTAATGGACTATTAAATTATGATCCTTGAACTCTCACTGATATGATAACATCGAAACAGGTCAGGACGGAATGTTATCAGAACACTTTGAGCGAAAACTTTTAAAATAAAACTTTTAATGGCGAATTTTTTGACGACACAACTATGTTCATGCTGCGGATAGTTTCGCGATTGTTTTCTTCGGTAAATTTAATGGTAAAAAATCGTAGAATTGTTGGAGATCTCGTAAAATCAGAACAGAAGTATGTCTACAGGGTGTTTTGCAAAACTACAATTATTAGTTCAGTTCGAGCAATTGACTTCCTATATTCTATTTCTGACTACAGAAATCGATTCTTGGTAGGATTTTAAATAAATTTTTCTTTTTCAGTTTTTCGATCCGATACGTAGTTTTCAAGCAATTAGCAATTAAAGTTGGGTCAATCGGAGCGCGTCTATGTTGCTGCAAGCGGTTACTATCCTTAGCGGCGATTCGCCTGCATCTTTATGCAGCAAAGATAACGTGTTCTGATTGGCCAACGGTTTATCAATAATTACTCCCTAACGGTACGTCGTATCGAAAAACTGCAAAGAAATAAATCGCTTATAATTCCACTACCAATTCAATGTCGCACGTAATTCTTGTCAAGGGTACAGTGGTTATGATAATTTTAATTGATTTACCTGTATGGAGCCTTGTATGTTGTTGTACGTGGCTCAGTTGTTTGAATCGTCGATCGCAGTAGGAGCATTTGTACGGTTTTTCGCCCGTGTGAACACGTATGTGCTGAACAAGCTGATGGTTGCTGCTAAAGGACTTTAGACACTGCTGACACTGATGCGGCTTGACGTCCGACCTCCCTGTCAAGTCTCGATGCATCTGCATCGCCGAGTTCCTCATGAAGATCTGCAAATAAAGGACGAAACTGTCGTCAGGACGCTGTCCTACATCAACATAGACGGTGTATAAGTGAATGTCGTGTTTGTGATAATTATCTTCTTGTGGATGAATCGGGTGAAGTGTCTGGTTATTTTTTATCGATAACGTTTGCAATAGGCTGGTCATTTATAAGTGTTTGTGTGCCCTTTGACTTCTTCTTTTTGTCTATAAACACGGATGGTCTTCTAATGCAAGCATATTTTATTCTATTTTGATTATTATTTGCGCAAGGTCGAGTCGCCTTCAATAAAAAGAAGTCAGTTATATGCTAGCGAACGGTTAATTATAGAAATTCGAAAAAGGTTAAAATAATTCGAAATGGTCTGTATTCTGTCGAAACTGCCAGACGCGGATCGCAATTTCGATCTTTTTGGATCTCATCAGCGCAACGCAGGCAGCTCCGACAGAACACAGACCAACTTTTACTGTCTTAACAGTGTGTTTTAGAAAATACTACAAATGGCGCAGTAAACGCCATCTGTAGCACGATGCTACATTTTAGGATTACGTATGCTCCAACGCCGGGATTCGTTTTTAGATATCCACACAAGTGGAGCATACGTAATCCTAAAATGTAGCATCGTGCTACAGATGGCGTTTACTGCGCCATTTGTAGTATTTT